CCCTAGCAATTTGTCCATAGATTAGTTGCCAGCACTGATAGAAAAAGACAGCACATTCAAAGTAACATCAAATCTCAACGGAGCTGATCCTCGCGGACGATCATAGCACAGACAGAGAAGACCCTAACACATCAAGCAAGCAAGAAAAACGCATCTACCCAGTTACTCTATTAAACATACAGTTTTGCTAAAGCACATCTAGATGTGCTCTAAGTATTGCACATCTAAGTCCTATGTCATTGATTTTATGCTAAGATCCATGCAAGCATTTTCTTTTATCTTTTTTCTGTCTTTCTAGTTTGACTGAGTCACTTAGATGTGCAATAACTATGACACATCACAGGATCCGGTTTACGCGGGCAAGAGCAAAGGATCGCACCAGAACTTGAACTCGGGCAGGCGGCGGACGAACGGACGGAACTCGTCCGAGGAGCGCGTGGGGAGCGCGGGCCCCTCGCCGAGCACCTCGGCGAGCTCGGGGTCGACCTGAGGCGACAGGAAGGCGATGAGGAGGTTGAGGAGGTAGATGCCGAGGGCATACGTCACGATGTAGTAGCCGCCGACGAACCACGCGCGCAGCGCGTACACCAACACTCCCCCAGCGAGGCCCAGCCAACGGCGGCCCACGTGCGGAGTTGACCGGTCCAGCAGGTGCTGAAACCGCCGGGATGCCGTGGCGACCGCTGCCGACAGGGCAGCGGCGGGCCCCCCGCTATCGCTGCTGTAGGTGGAGGCAGCCGGAGCAGGGGCGGAGGCGGAGGCGGTGGAGGAAGAGGAAGGGTCCATCATGGCGTTGAGCGGACTGCGGTTGGGGATCTCGTGCAGCAAGGCCTCCGCCCTTATGGCATCCCATCCCATCCCATTCACGTCTTGCCTCCTCGGAGCTTAGAGCTTCTCGGCCGTTCGATTGGAATCTTCTCGCGAACACAGACCGTGGGATGTCAGTCGTTGGATATTTGCCAGATCAACTTCAGCCGTCCGATAAATTTCAATTGCATCAAAATGTGATATCCTTGCCCCCACCGAGTCATTTTTGTCATTTCATATATGGATATAAAATGGCAGCAGCACTGTGTTGAGTAAAAACCTACTTGTGTCCTTCTGCACTTACGGTTACGTGGTTGGGTCAACCTCGCGGCCTAGCTCCCATCCCTAACACTAGCTCATCCTCTACGCCGCCATCGTCCGTCCTCCTCTTCCTGCATCCCATCTCGTCGTCAGGCGCGTGCTGCCACCAATTTTCATCCTCCCCTCATGATGACCCACAAGTATAGGCATCTATCGTAGTTTATTCGATAAGTAAGAGTATCAAAACCAACAAGGAGCAGAAGAAAATGACAAGTGGTTTCAATAAGGTATTCTCTGTAAGCACTGAAATTATCGGTAACAGATAGTTTTGTGATAAGATAAATCATAACGGATAACAAGTAAATAAAGTAACTAAGGTGCAGCAAGGTGGTTCAATCCTTTTTTAGCAAAAGGACAAGCCTGAACAAACTCTTATATGAAACAAAGCGCTCCCGAGGATTCGCGTTTGTTACTTTGATAATTTGATATGTGGGTGGACCGGTGCTTGGGTGTTGCCCTTCCTTGGACAAGCTTCTCACTTATGATTAATCCCTTTCGCAAGCATCCGCAACTACGAAAGAAGAATTAAGGTAAACATAACCATATCATGAAACATATGAATCCAAATCAGCCCCTTACGAAGCAACGCATAAATTAGGGTTTAGGCTTCTGTCACTCTAGCAACTCATCATGTACTTATTACTTCCCAATGTCTTTCCCTAGGCCCAAATAATGGTGAAGTGTCATGTAGTCAACGTTCACATAACACCACTAGAGGAGAGACAACATACATCTCATCGAAATATCAAACGAATACCAAATTCACATGATTACTTATAACAAGACTTCTCCCATGTCTTCAGGAACAAACGTAAGTACTCACAAAACATATTTATGATCAAGATTAGAGGAGTATTAATTATCATTAAGGATCTGAAAATATAATCTTCCACCAGATAAACCAACTAGCATCAACTACAAGGAGTAATCAACACTACTAGCAACCCACAGGTACCAATCTGAGGTTTTGGGACCAAGATCGAATACAAGAGACGAACTAGGCTTTGAGAGGAGATGGTGCTGGTGAAGATGTTGATGGAGATTGACCCCCTCTCAACGAGAGGATCGATGGTGATGACTATGGCGACGATTTCCCCCTCCCGGAGGGATGTTTCCCCGGCAAAACAGCTTCGTCGGAGCCCTAGATTGGTTCTGCCCAGGTTTTGCCTCTAGACGGCGGCGCTTCGCCCCGAAAGCTTCCTTCTAATTTTTTCCAAGTCAAAACGCACAATATAGCCAACGATGGGCACTAGAGGCCTGCCAGGGGGCCCACAAGGTCAGGGGGCATGTTCTAGGGGGATAGGGCGTGCCCTCCACCCTTGTGGCTGGCTGGTGGCCCCCCTCTGGTACTTTCTTCACCTAATATCTTTTATATATTCCAAAAACATGCTCCGTGAAGTTTCGGGACTTTTGGGGTTGTGCAGAATAGGTCTCTAATATTTGCTCCTTTCCAGTCCAAAATTCCAGGTGCCGGCATTCTCCCTCTTCATGTAAAGCTTATAAAATAAGAGAGAATGGGCATAAGTATTGTGATATAATGTGTAATAACAGCCCATAATGCAATAAATATCAATATAAAAGCATGATGCAAAATGGATGTATCAACTCCCCCAAGCTTATACCTCGCTTGTCCTCAAGCGAAAGCCAATATCGATAAATATGTCCACATATTTAGAGATATAAGTGTCGATAAAATAAAAGTACGGACATGAGGGCATCATGATCATCTTTAGAACAGCAACATATATTGTCATATAGTTTCTCATGCTAAAGTAACAATTCATTCACAAAGCAAAGTATGAATCAGAAACTTCATTGAAAACTAACAAACTATGACCTCAGTCATTGGAGCAATTGCAATTTATCATAACATCGGAAAGAGTCAATATAAGAGCTTTTCAGCAAGTTCACATACTCAATTATCATATAATCTTTCACAATTGCTAACACTCACGCGATACTTATGGGTTCAAAGCTTCAATCGGACACAGAGAAAGATAGGGGCTTATAGTTTCACCTCCCAATCTTTTACCTCAAGGGTAATGTCAATAATAATACTTTATGAAAACCTACATCCGAGTGGATATATATGTATCCGGATCTCTCCAACACATAGTGCTTGCCAAAGGAAAAAGTATAAAAAGGGAAAGGTGATGATCACTATGACTCTTGTATAAGGGTAGGAGATAAAAGTAGAAAATAGCCCTTCGCAGAGGGAACTAGAGGTTGTCATGCGCTTTTATGGTTGGATGCACAAAATCTTAATGCAAAAGAATGTCACTTTATATTGCCGCTTGTGATAAAGACCTTTATTATGCAGTCTGTCACTTTTATTTCTTCCATATCACAAGTTCGTATAAAGCTTATTTTCTTCACACTAATAGATCATGGATATTTAGAGAGCAATTTTTATTGCTTGCACCGATGACAACTTACTTGAAGGATCTTACTCAATCCATAGGTAGGTATGGTGGACTCTCATGGCAAAACTGGGTTTAGGGATGTTTGGAAGCACAAGTAGTATCTCTACTTGGTGCAAAAGAATTTGTCTAGAATGAGAGGGAAAGGCAAGCTCAACATGTTGGATGATCCATGACAATATAACTTCTATTCGGATATAAGAAAACATCAAGAGATAAGAGAAGGATGTTCCACCGAGCTCTCTCAGAGCTCAGGCACTCTCGGCCGTCGGATCGCGATGCTTGATGGGTTTTGGGTCGTTCGATCGAGCAGATGGAAGATATGGGCCATCGGATCCTGGTCTGGCACTATAGAAATGAATAATTACTGCCTCTAACCGCCTCCATGCGCTTCCGTTCCTCCCGTCGCGTGTACCAGCGGTGAAATATCCCCTGCCACCGTACGTTATATCTTGCCCCCGCCGAGGGTATTTCGGTATTTTCGCTCCCGGGGGTCATGTGTGGCGCGCGGTGATTAGCTCGTCCGGCTATGGGGTGGAGGAGGGCAGCGACCCACCCTTTCGTGCTCTCATTCGTCCCTCTCGTCTCCCTCTTTCTGGATCTCATTCTCTCTCATCGCGGCGCTCCTCCTTCTCGATTCGACGCCGTCCTTCAGGTGGTTTCCCTCTACCTCTCGCTCGTCTATTTTGTTCTGGTTGTTTCTTACCGTCTCCCTTGCTTGTTTGCTTGATTTTAAGTGTTTGGACGGTGCCGTTGCGTTGGGCCTGCCTTGCGAGTTGATCGGGAAGGGAGCACACCGGCTGAGCTTCTGAGATGGCTGAGGTAATTGATTTCTCCCTTGTTTGTTCTCCCCTCCGTGCTATGTATGTGCTCATCAAGACTTTTGTTGTTCTTCAGGGATCTGTCTAGGGTTTGCTTGTCGATTCATTCGGATTTGTGCCGATCCATTCTGATTCGTGTTGTTCGAGGTGTTTTGGCTGGTTCGGTTGCAGGTAATTCTCCCCTCTCGCCTGGCCTCCTCGGTTTTACTTCTGTAGGTCGTATGTGTGTCTATGGTCCATAAATACTGCAGATTCTATCCTCTGTTTTGCGAATATGTGTATTACAGGGGATGTGTTATTTATTATTTATGTTGTTTGCGAATATGTGTATTACAGGGGATGTGTTATTTATTATTTACGTTGTTTATTTATTATTTATGTTCTGGATTGTTGTCATTCCATATTTGCTGTGGATATAGCCTATGCCTAAGGTCCATGTATATTGTTGTTTGGGTTCATGTGTGTTGCAGAGGTGGGTTGTTATATATATTGCAAGGATCTGTTGCCTACATTCTTTTGGGATCTAACGTTTATGCCTGGTTGGTGTTTTCTTTTTTGTGTGGGGTCTTCTTATTTTGGGTTCGCGTTTTGCTGGCAGGATGTTTGCAGTCGGTTGTTCTTTTGTGCACATGTTAGATGTCGTTGCTTCGCGATGTCGTTTGTCATTCCATTCGTACTTGCGGGAGGTCATGGACAATGGGGTTGTGCTTGGAGGGGTGGAGCTAGATGTTGATGTTCCTGGAGGTGATGCCTTGACCATGACGAAGTTTTTTTGGTCCCGGGACGGTATAGGTTGCCCATCTCTTCATGATGATGCCGCTCTCCAAGCTATTTGTTTCCTACAGGGTCTGTATGGGTTTGTTGTTGTAGACTACAATTACAAGAGCATGATGACTTATCGAGAACTTGCTTGTTCAGCAGTTGTTTTGGCGGCCTCACTGGTTCGGTCTTCGGTGCCTGCTGTTACTGGTGATGCGTCTGCTGCCGTGGGTGACGTCAATGCTGCTTTGCGGCGGCAGATGTTACACGCTTGGTTGGTTTCTACGGCATGTGCCTTCTAGGTGTGCCTTGTATCTAGGGTCTTTTTTCCCTGTTGGTTAGTTGATAGATTTATCTTCGTGATGTAGGTTGGTCTATGCTTAGATCATTGTGTATGAGATGGGTGACTGGTTGTAATAAGATATGGATATTAACTATTTGTTTATTCACTGTGAGCCTTATCTTTCTCCTGGCCTTGTTGCTGGTGCAGGGTATGATAGATCGTGTCTTGTCCTTTTACTTTGTTACGCTATATTTGGATACCCGGTGTTCTGCTTTTTAAGGTTACATTGTTCTTGCTTATTTGTTTTCAGTGTCTTGGGTATGTTGTACTTCTGTTACTGACATGCCACGTCGTCCGATTGTGGTCCATGGTGAGGATGCTGTTGGGTTTGGTGCTGGTTTGGTAAATGCTCGTGGTCGTGGGCGTGGTCGTGGGCGGGCTGCTGGT